TTTATTAGATAAGCTGAAATAGCTAAAAGGGTAGAACATTTCTTCCTTTCCCCTTGTAAATGGGTACCATTTTAAATTCGTGGTCCCTAATCTGACACAGTCCCACAACCATGCCAAAAATTTGCCATCTATCCTTAAACCCATTATGCAACACCCATCTCGCACTTAATTAAAAATAAAAAAAAAAATAGACCATCAAGAATGATCTTCTGTAGGTTCACAACACCTACTTTTAAATTTATCTAGAGCCCCCATTCTTATCTCCTTTCTTCCAGACTCATGTCTCTGTCCTCTGATATGGGACTATGCCCCCCATCAGTACTTCTCATGCCATTCCTCCAGGATTCTCTGTGATCTTGTCCCATTAGCCATCCCTCTCTATTAGTCTCTTCCAGTCCTTTCTGTGTGAACTTCTACCCCGCTACTTGCAAATATATTTAAAACTCTCCCATCATTAAATGGAAAGGGGGGTGGCGGGGGAGGAAACACATTGACTTTTCCTATTCTTTTCTTATCATGTTGCAATGTCTCCTCCTTTTTCACCCAAACTTCATGAAGGAGGTATCTGCTATCTGTTTTCCTCACCTCTAGACTGTTCCTTGTGCTCTTCAATGTGGCCAGAATTTCTGCTCTTCGTGAAATAATCAATGTGAGCATTTTGTTTTTATGTTTAATATTCTGGAGTCAAGGGCTCTGTGTGTATAAAGAAGTGATTACAAGTTATTTGGTTTTTAAATTAACACTGAATTTATTAAGGTCACAAAATCAAAAACAAACCTTACTTAAGTTTTTGTTCAACTTACAAATTTTGCTACTCTATTTCTGAATTAGGCATGATTAGAAATAGCATCACTTTTTTCTTTTAGCTATTGGATTAATATTTTTATATTGAACAGAATAATTTCCCCCAGTCTTCTTTTGTAATTATATTCAATTAAACATTTTAAGCATTTAAAATTTTTTAACATTTTTTTCTTTCATTTTTATCTATTTCAAATTCCTGACAGGACAAATTTACAATACCTAAAGCAAAATGTTTCCAAGAACTCAAATTTTTTTGAAATAGAATTATTTATATACTTATGGGAAGATTTATATTACTCAGAAATATAACAAATAATTTTTTACCCACAGCTTACTATTGTCAGGCCAGAAATGAATGCAAGGACTTCAATAACAACAGCTGCTTTTATGCCCAGATATTTTTTAACTCTATATATCCATCCCATCAGTTAAACTATTACTTTTATACCAGGAATAGTTGCAAGAAACATTGAACTATCTCTTAATTTATAACTAGCTAATTACAAAGGCTCATATGGCCTTCTTAAGGTATTTTTTTTGACAATGTTCTACTATATCCAGAGAGGCTGCTTACTAATAGAACTTTCAGCTTTTCCCCTAAGCTTCCAATGCCATAATCTAATCCAACAAAATAGTGGCCAAAAAATCCCTTCTTGTTGTATCTGTGATATAGTGTTGTAATAAGATCTGAGTAACACAGAATTGGGGATCTGCAAGGATATTCTCAGGTTTTTTATAATTTTTGTTTTGACTCAAATTTCTACGAGGTGGTGGGGATTTATGTGAGTTGTTTCAGCCATGACAACTTAACAGCTTTAACATGCCTAGATAAGGAGGGGATACCAACCAGCTTGGATCTATTTTGTAGCACCCATCTATCTTTGACACCCTCCGGAACAGAGATGGGACCATTCAGTGGGAATGCTGGTATGGTTGGCTGAGATGATACTTTTCATGCATTTGTGTGAATATTTCCTCTTGAATAATTGATGATCCTGGAATGATTTGGAGAAGTCTTCAAAATTAGCATGTAATTTAGTCATGTTTAAAGACATATATTATTGCAGGTGTTCCCCTCAACGGAACTGTGGGACACTGAAGAACCATTGCCAAAGATCTGGTATGGACAGCTATTGGCAACACCATCTCAGTACCCTGTTGGCTAGGTGCTAGAACTTGGTGAGGTATATAAGAGGGATTATAAGAAAAAAGAAGAAACTATTGAACTAGCCATACCATTTCATAGTTAGAATTGTTATAAGGTGGCCTAGGTACTTCTTTATAATATCCTTTAGAAAAACAAGGGTACAGGTAAACAAAGGGAATTTATAAGGCAAGAACAGAAGGATAGGGTAGGATGCTACTTTCATAGACTTTTGAGACACCTACTGTCTACTGAAGACTCCTCATACCAATCCAAAAGGGAAAACACTATTAGAAATGTTGCCTTCTTTTCATTCTAGAGATTGAGAAAAAAATTATCCCAAACTTGGAAATAAGCCCAAAAGATTTCTGTCTGTCTTTTCGAAGACACATTAAAGCATTTTCCAACAAGTCTACCCAAGGGTCATCTGCTTCTGGAAGGAAAGTGGCCAACAATGGCCCATGCCCTCAGTCAAAACAGCTCTCCACCTGTTTTTACATAGCTTCAAACTAAGAATGGTTTTTATAATCTTAAGTGATTGGGGGGAAATATAAAGAAGAAAAATATTTTGCACTTGTGAAAAGTATGTGAAATTTGAATTTTAGTGTCCATAAAGTCATATTGGAATACAGCCATGCTAATTCAATTAGATATTGTCTATATTTTCAAGCTTTACACATGTCTTGATTTTTTGCTTCTTAGTAGGCAATGTTTGCTGACCCCTGACCTAAGGCCTGTAATTTTGTTTTATTGTTTCCTATTGACAAGG